TGCTTGGACTCCCTCGTGCAAACAGCTCAGGGCTGCCATTTGCAGAGGCCACCTGCTTCTCCTTCTTTTGGTCCGATACCCAATAATAATAATAATAATAATAATAATAATAATAATAATAATAATTTATTATTTATACGCCGCCCATCTGGCTGGGTTTCCCCAGCCACTCTGGGCAGCTTCCAACAAAATATTAAAACACAATGGTCTGTTAAACATTAAGAGCATCCCTAAACAGGGCTGCCTTCAGATGTCTTCTAAAAGTCTGGTAGTTGTTTTTCTCTTTGACATCTGGTGGGAGGGTGTTCCACAGGGCAGGTGCCACTACAGAGAAGGCCCTCTGCCTGGTTCCCTGTAACTTGGCTTCTCGCAGCGAGGGAACCACCAGAAAGCCCTCGGTGCTGGACCTCAGTGTCTGGGCAGAATGATGGGGGTGGAGACGCTCCTTCAGGTGTACTGGACCGAGCCCTGGTTGGCCACTGTGAGAACAGGATGTTGGATTAGATGGGCCACTGGTCTGATCCAACAGGCTATTCTTATGCTGATCATGCCAAATTGAGTGATACATTCAGAGGCAATGAAATCACTGCAGTTTGGAATGGTTCCGTCCATCATTTGCATTCAGAACAGACCAAAACCCAAGCTCGCTCTTGGGAACTGTCACACCAAAATAAGTGACAATATCTTCAGAACCATCACAATCAGAACATTTTGGAACCACCATACCAAACTGGATGATGATAGCTTAAGAGGCATCCGAATCAGCATAGTTTGGAACTGCCATGCCAAATTGGGCAAAGTTATGCCCAAGTCATGCTTCAGTCCACCATCTTGACCCAAAATGGCATCTGGATCCAAACATAGATGAAAATCAGCTCCTTGACCACATGAATCATCATGCCAAATTGGGTGAGAATATTTCCAAGAGGTGTTTGAATGCATAAACAGACAGACAAACCCCATATATATGGTAAAAGTTCATTCAAACTGGGATAAGCTCACTGAAATGGCAGCGATGTCATGTGTCACAATTACAGTCCCTGAGGGAAAGCCAAACATTGATCACGATTTACTCTTGGGAGGATATCTAGAAGGATAGATTGCTGCTCTGATATGGGACAAGGGACCTTTGGAACCCATAGAGCGACAGTCGGAGCGGCACAGAGGGATGAGCAGAGGACTGCTTGTGTCCTTAAAAGCAAGACAGGAAATCTTTGGTTTGGCAATCAAAAAACATGCTATGTATTGTACATCAGATATGAGAATTTAGTCAGAATTAATTAATAACAAATGATTTAGTTATTGTAACAATAATTTATTCCTGTCCACTCTGGTAATGGGATCCACCCTTTTTCTCAAACAGAATCTCTGGCAGCCCTTCAGTCAGAATCTTTGGCAAGAGAAGATAAACAGAAAACATCCCTTCCCAACTACATGAGACTCATTCACTGCATTTCCAGTATGATGTGGCTTTTGATTCTGTCTGGGAATGCAACAGCTGTTCATGCCATGTACATTAATTCGTAAATACACGAGAACGTAGTTATCTCGAAAGGAAGGAAGCAACAAAGAATCCATGTATCATAGGATGATGTTCATAGGCAAAGTTCACACACAAATAATGCTGGCTATGGCAAGGCTGTGAATAAGGAGAGATCTAGAAAAGATAATTCACTTGACTTCCAACAAGCTATTGACAGAGTCCCTCATGAAACAGTCCTCAATAAATTTAGCCGCCCTGAGATGGAAGAGTTGGTCATCTTATGGATGGGTGACTAGCTAAAAAATAAGAATAAGAAAGTAAATGAAGAATTCTCACAGTGGAAGAAAGGAAGAAGTAGCTCCTCAAGGATTTATACTGGGAGTAGTGCTATTTAATTGTTTCATAAGAAGAGCCCTGCTGAATCAGACCAAAGACCTATGAAGTCTACAGGAAACAGTTACAGGAAACAGGTGCCTAGAGGAAGCTTATAAGAAGGACAGAAGGGGATAAAGCTCTCTCTCACTTTTGTCCCCCAGTTACTGGGATTCAGAGGCATGCTGCTTCTGTTGGGTTGAAATAAACGACAGACGAGTAACAAGTGTCATATGGGAGGCATCTTCCGAGCATGTCTCAGGAAGTCCCTTTTATTGAATATTACAGCATTGCCACATATGTGCTTGTTGCTGATTGGTTAACACAAATACAATGCAAGGGCATTAATCATCAATAGATTAAAGGTTGGGAAAGGGAACACATGGTTAGACAGGTATGAAAACCTCCTTATTAAACTATTACTAGTGATTGATATTGCAGAACTTAAAAGAACATAACAATCGCATTCCGTAGATGTGGTCAACCATGCATTAAGAACAGGGCATGATGTTTCATGAACTCAATGTGAACTGAACATTCTAGCAGAACTTCCCATCATATAGTTGCCATGACTAGTGGTCATTGCTAGCAATAACAGTCTATGATCCATCTACTTGTCTAATCCCTATTAAAACCATCTAAATTGATGACCATTACCACCTCATGAGGCAGCAAATATCATTGCTTAACTACACACATTGCTTAATTACTTGTGCTGTACTGATTTCAGTATTATGGCAACCAAATGGACCCAAACTGGTGTTCCACATAACATCTAGGAAAGTAATTTGCCCATATGTAGTTCTATCATGGGAACCACCATCTTCCCACTTGGACCAGCCCAAAGTGAGAGGTAGCATTAATAATTACCTTAGCTATTAGAATTGTAGTTGAAAGATGAGTGGACCAAGATCCTGAGCTCTTGAATGTCACACCTAACTATTTCTGCAAAAGGCTGTTTGTCTAGTTGCCTGGACTTCCTGGAGCAATTTGATCTATCAAAGGATCCAAGCACTCCTCACCATTTAAGTGTGGGATAGAACTCTAAACTAGAATACCAATTCTACAAGCACCAGGTGGTGGAGCCATGGCAGGATTAATTTAAGCCAACACTATTGTCTATTTTTTTATTTTTATTTTTTGTAGTTTTGACTGAAAGCAATCAAGATAAGGGAAATCTGAAGAGGACTCTTGTATGAGTGGGAGGCTAGAAACATGCTTCATTGGAGACCTAAAGCCAGTTTTCCATAAGGCTGAGTTAGGAATTCCAATATTTATGGTCCTACCTTCAGCATCCTGAGATTCAAGATCTATAAGCATTTCAGTGCTTGGAGCATTTGAACATTCCAAAGCACTATACAATTGTTTGTTGTTGGGGAATGCTGGCCTATAGCTTCCTTAATAATTTGCGGCCCACTAACAAGGTTCTAAAAAGCCCTTGAACCCTAATGTTGTATTTGCCCAATTGTGACCTGGCTGCATATATTTCTTTAGCAAAGCTAGAGTGTTATTACACATCTGTTTTAAATATGGTAGGATTGAGAGGGTATGGTAGTTATGAGATTTCTTGAATAGATTCTTAATTTCAATAATTCATTCTGCTTCCTCCCCACCAACTTGGCAATGGTGATCAAGGCCACCTGGTCTGGAATAAGAGCTAGGTTCCCTTTAAAATCCAGATCCTTTGATTCCACCATTTCTCCGGGTCCATAAATGTCAGGGACTTTGGGAAATGGCAACATTAGCAGCAACTTTTCACATAAGCTCCATGGTTTACGTTTATTTTAAGTCTAAATTTAATTGTTTTCTAAATGTTTTAAATTGTTTTAAGTCCACAATTTATCATTTGCTGAGCTCAAGGCAAAAGGCTTATGCATGCCAACTTTCTGCCTTGCCTCTTGTGCTTTAAAGCATCCCAAGGTCCTTGCTAAAGTTGGAGACTCTGGTGTTCAGGATGCATGGCAAATGCTTTTGCTGAATTTTTCACATATACGGATAGTAGATCTTTGTGAACTACTCTTATTGCATTTTGCTGACCCTTACTCAGATGTACCATCAGAAATTTACTGATTGAGAAAGAAGAAGGAAGAGTAAACCGAGGGCCTGTGGATAGCTTGTCTTTTTAATTCACTCTAGCTCTGAAGCACTTAAGGAGCTCTATAATCCTATCAAGCTGATCTCCACATCCAGCAATGGGAATTAATTTGTCATTTATAACTCATGGAGTCCCAAAAAATATTGTTTAGAGTCTTTACAATTGGTAGGAACTGTTCTCCCATAACATCAGTGAGTGAAGCATTCTCACCTCCAGGCTGAGATCCAAAATACTCATGACTTCTATTAGTCCATTCTTGGCTGTCCTCGTTGGCTTCCTCCACCAGAGCAGTTGCTGGAATTGAATAACGCTTAGATGTGGGAGGGGTGAAACCCAGAGGGACCAGAGTTTCCATAACTGCCAAACAAGGAACTATCAGTCTTAGGTTGCTTGGAATTTGGGCGGGCTGGAGATTTCAATTGTCCTTTAGATCTCTTTTTTCTTATAGCATAGTTAATACATTATCATCCAATGTGAAGTATTATAGTTTTGCAGGGTTCTGCTCAACACTACCTCCTTCACTTTAGCAAAGCTGTTTTAGTTCAATTAGGTCTATAATACTTCAGTTAATATAATACTATAATACTGCAGTTAAGCCTGCAGTTTTCAGTTAGTTCACTCAACTGACTTATATGTCTGTCTTTCTCACACCCTATGCTCAGGAGTCTCTTTCATTTGGTGGCTTTTTACTGAGGTGCTTCTTCTTTCTCAATCAGTAAATTTCTGATGGTACATCTGAGTAAGGGTCAGCAAAATGCAATAAGAGTAGTTCATAAAGATCTACTATCCGTATATGTGAAAAATTCAGCAAAAGCATTTGCCATGCATCCTGAACACCAGAGTCTCCAACTTTAGCAAGGACCTTGGGATGCTTTAAAGCACAAGAGGCAAGGCAGAAAGTTGGCATGCATAAGCCTTTTGCCTTGAGCTCAGCAAATGATAAATTGTGGACTTAAAACAGTTTAAAACATTTAGAAAACAATTAAATTTAGACTTAAAATAAACGTAAACCATGGAGCTTATGTGAAAAGTTGCTGCTAATGTTGCCACCTTGCTTCTCAGCCTTTTGGCTAAGATCAAGTGTAGTAATAATATAGAAACAGAAAAACTATTCTCCATCCACTTGCCATGTCCAACTTTGCCAACATGTACTCTATTTATATGGGTGGCGCTGTGGTCTAAACCACTGAGCCTAGGGTTGCCAATCGGAAGGTCGGTGGTTCGAATCCCTGCGATGGGGTGAGCTCCCGTTGTTCGGTCCCAGCTCCTGCCAACCCAGCAGTTCAAAAGCACGTCAAAGTGCAAATAGATAAATAGGTACCGCTCTGCCAGGAAGGGAAATGGCGTTTCCGTGTGCTGCTCTGGTTTCACTAGAAGCGGCTTAGTCATGCTGGCCACATGACCCAGAAAATCTGTCTGCGGACAACCCCAGAGTCATTTGCGACTGGACTTAACTGTCAGGGGTCCTTTACCTTTTACCTTTTTACTCTATCATATCCTGCCTAACTCACCATTCTCCCCCACCCTAAACTAGACATGCCACATAAGAGGGAACAGTCCCCAGCCCAATAGTAACGTTGGTTGCTTTTTTCTGCACTTTCCCCTGCTATCCCCTTTTCAAAAATGTGGTTTACATTGTTTCCCCTTGTTTTGTACTCAAGCAGTGCAATATTGGTAGCTTTATTTTTTATTCCTTTCCTGATTGTCTCTAACTGGGATCATAAGCATACAAACTCACTATTGGGGGGGGGGGACAGAGGAAGGCTGCCACTCTGAAAGCTTGAGCCAAGCTGGACACTAGATAAGTTGGAAGAACCAAAAGCAGCTTGCTGAGTGGGGTGGAACCACAATGCTAGCTTCCATGTTGGTGGGTTGCAGTTGCTTACCAGGAGGCATGACGCAGCAGTGAGGCTGGTTTGGTGCAGACACACCAGCAGGAGAACTGGATTTGCTCCTTCACTGCAGCAACCTCTGCCTCAGTTCCTCCTTTCCCTCTTCATCTGTGTAAGCAGAAGTGACCCACCTGGCAGGAATCTATTATAGTGTCTCTGCCTCACTTCTGCAAACCACCTGTGTATCCCCCTCCACCATCTCAGGATTCCACTGTTAAGTTTTTATCATTTCCACCTGCTTGTTATTAATTGTTGCATCCTGGTGAAATTTTTACAGCTCATTCTTAGGGGTGTAATTTTTTTTTATAAATATTGTTATGCTTTCTGTATAATCACTTTGTGCAAAACCCAAATAATCTCTGTATAAAATATTTACTTATTAAATATAACCTATTAAAGATAACGATGACCCTCCAATTATCTAGGATAAGTCATGAGTAACCAGTTCATAGCAATATTGGGTTTATTCTGTATGCATATGTTCTCTGGCATGAAATAACTTCTATGCAAAATTTAAAATATACAGATCTTCTTGGCAGATATATTGAGATGGAAACAGTATTAGCTTTGCTCTCCTTATTTAGAGGTCGCAACAAGGACTTCCCTTGTCAGAATCTGATAAGTCACCTTCTTGTGGCAGTGCACATGGAGCTGGGGTTCAACTGGAAAAGTGCAGAGGAGTTTACTATCCACAACTGGTATAACAATGTATGGTACTTGGCTTTGACTGACAAACTCACACAGTGAAGTAGAGTGATGTGTGGAGCAATGAAAAAGATACTTTTGATGCTGGTTAGTTTATATTTATTTCTATTATTAATTCTCACACAGAAGAGCCTAGACCTCCATCCTTTTGGTTAGTTAACTTAACATGCTGCTATTATTTCCTGCCTTATACATGTGATGACTGTGTTTTGCTTTGTACCTGGTGACCGATGCCCATTGCTGTTTGTGGTATTTCATGTTATTCTTAATAAAAACAATATTTTACACGCACAGAGAGAGAGAGGGTGAGACTCAGAGCAGAAGTCTCAAACTGGAGAGAATCTTAGCCCTGTATTCATTTAGTTCCCACTGTGGTTGAAATGAACCATGTGGTCTTCCCGTAATCTGACATTCATATTCATATTAAATGGTAAACATTTGCCTAACAACTGTAGAAAACAGGAATCATATAAGATCTCTCTCTCTCTCTCCGTCATTTTCATCCCCCTCCATTCTTCGGTTCAGTGTCCTCTTCCAGCTGCTCACTTGGAAAAAGGCCATACCTCACTGACAGAGCTTTGTGTGTGTAAGGTCTCACATTTAATCCCGGCTAAAAGTTTTCCTGTGGCAAAAAGGCCATTGCTTGATATTTCAAAAAGTCACTTGAAGTAACTGAACCAACCAGAACTGTGCTGGCTGGACTGTTTTCTATCTTGGATCTGAAGGAACAATATTTCCAAATCTGTCACAGCTGAGACGCATGGAACTGGGCCTTCCCTGGAGTGTGGCCTGCCCACTCTGTAAACGCACTTTCCCCTTGCTATACAGGGGGCTCCAACAGTGAGGTGCTTCCCAAGACTGTTAAAACTATGTTTGCCTGCTCAGGTTTCCCCTGACTAGGTTATTGGTATATTTTAAATATTTCACAGCTAGATTATTGGCACACTTCAGATATTTCACAACTAGGTGATTGGCACATTTTAGATATTGCATGTGGCTCCCTGTTTGTGGAATGCTCTCCCCAGGGAGGTTTAGCTGGCGCCTTCGTTATACACCTTTAGGTGCCAGGCAAAAATGTTCCTGTTCAACCAGGCCTTGGGCTGATTAATAGCTTATACACCTTCTAAACGTGTTTGTGGGTGGGGGGAGGGGTTATTGGTTTGGTTTGTTCTTGTTTTTATCTTGTATTTTTATGTTGTGAACTGCCCTGAGATCTATAGATGAAGGGTGGGAGAGAAATCTATTTAAAATGAACAAATGTATTCCTGGCATTTGCTTTCTGCCTGTGGTTGAGTTTATATGAATTTTGCGTACATTTAATACATATTTCATTTATGCATGGTTAACATTTAATGTTGGAATTTCACTCTGCAAACCACTTTGGATACCTTGGATGGGAAGTGATCTATAAATCTCTCTCTCTCTCTCTCTCTCTCTCTCTCTCTCACACACACACACACACACACATTCTATAAATCATTATATATATATATATATATATATATATATATATGCGACACTAGGGGCCAAGTGATGGTTTTCTTTTATTTTGCAAAAGGTGTTGTATATCCATTTGCAAAATTGTGTGTCCTTTGCTGGGCATTCTCATGTATCTGTGCAGTAGTAAGCCTATGGGGATATAATTAAAGTTCTTTTAATGCCTGGTACTAGATATTACATTTGAAAATACTCTGGCGGTGCTATGAAGTATTATTACATCACTCATTGTCTCTCCTCTCTCATTTCCTACATCACTTAAAATTTAAATCCCCTTAATCACAAAGATAATATAACCAGATTCCTTTTAGATACTGGGACTTTGCATCCCTGCTTAAAACCACTCTATAATTAAATTTACCTTGGATTCCTCTACCCAATATACTCTGCTTATTCAAAGCTCTTTGAAGAATCATAATGTGTGAAGTAGGGCTGGTCAGAGAAATGGACATTGTCCTATGTGCCTGGCTGTTCCCTCCTTAGAACCCTCTAACTGGTTCCTGTGTCTTCCAGTCTGGGCTTTGGGTTGGGTTCTTTTCTGTCTCTGCTGTGAAGGTCCAAGAGGTTATTATGGTGAGGACCCACAGCAAAGAAGTGAATCTAGGTAGGGCACATTAGATGCCCCATTCCTACTTACCCTGCCACGTGGCTTAAAGTTTGCTTTACCGGAGAAGCCAAGGAGCTGTCCAGTAGGTCAGAGATAAGGTTGTTCAGGAGACCAGGGGAGCTGTCCAGCAAGAAACTACAGAAAGCTGGCTCAGGTACTGTACTATTTCAGCACTGTTTAGGAACCAATGGAGCTGCTTTGTAACTGGTTCAGCTGCCCCATCCATTCCTGGCCTGCTATCCTTATCCCAGTTGACATCTCTATTGCTTTTATTTAGTCCTGTTGCTGTTTTAATCGTGTGTGTGTGTGTTTGAAAAATAATTTTAATATATGCAACTGTTTTCATAGAGATAACTTTTATATATGTTATACTGTAAATCACTTTGGAATATTTCTCGGGAAACAGTTCATAAGTGAAATGCAAAAAATAATGCTATACCCCTCTGACTTTTAGAACAGTGTAATCTCAATGATTAGAACAAGGATATATACCCTGAATGGCCAATGGTCTGATTCAGTGAATTAATTACCCAGAAAATAATGCATATGAATGCAAACTGGATTAGTTTATGATTTTTTGGGGGGGAGGGGGTGAAGAAAATCTAGAGTGAAACTTAAAACAAGTTTTAAAAAGCAAAAGGAATATCAAATTCTTTGTTCTGGTCAGGGAATGCAAAGTTAATATCTTTCCGACATGCTGACACAATTTTAATTAAGCTGACTTTATTCTTAAGCCACTAATTCATATTTTTGTTCTGTCGTTGAGTTAATGTTGCCACATGTGTGACAACTGTAAAGGCACGCCAGTTTCAAAATGCAGTTTTGATATGCATGTAAATATGATCATTTCTCTTAAGATTAGAAATGTCTCATTTACATAGAAATTATTGAAATAATTGTAGGATAAGCACAAGTAAGAATGCTTTTTGTCTTTTCTTCAGTTCAGGAGGTTTTGTCCTTATATTTTGCCCCCGGCAATATCAAACAGATAGATCAATAAATACTTGGAAGAATAAAAATGAAATAAACATGATCAGTAGTTGAAGACAATGAAATCTGAGTCAGTTTTTCTTGTGCTGTTATCAGGCATGTGAAATTCAGCTTGCTGTGTTGTTCTTTGGAAAGAGATAGAACAAGTCCCAGCTACATTAACTGACTGTATTAGCGACTGACGTGTGAAGAATGAATGATGTGCCAGAAGGCAGGAAGAATGGGCATGTAGTAGTATGAAGCGGAACAAGGGAGAGACTTGAAGAAGCAAGCAAGCAGTCAAACAACTTCTACTGTCATTGGCAGGGCAGCAGAACTTGCCTCTTTGAAGCTCTAGATTCTTGAGACGTTTTCTGGGAAGAACTGAACTAAATGAGTAACTCGGTTGAATGCCTCCCAAGCCTTGCAATATTTGCTGTTTTGCTGGTACTTT